TATTCAAAAGGTTGCCTCCATTTCTATATATTCTGGGCGAATTTTCATTTGCAAGACACATTAAAAAATTCGTTATTTTCTATTCTTCTCTCTTTTCTCTTAGCATCATCATTTTCATTATAAAGTGTTTTCTTGGTTTGATCAAATAGTCACAATTTGAATCAAACGCCTCCATTGTATCCTGAGAGAGATTTTCTATCATACCCCAATCATGACTTTGTTGGAAAGGGGAGAAACATCTCTTAAAAAATAACGTGTTTCGTGCCTTGGAGTTCATTAGTTTTTTCCAGATTTTATTATATTAATCCAACAGTATTCAAGTGATGCAAGGACAAGATAAGATCAGTAACCATTGACAAGCAGTATAATGTCAAGCTAGTCTGATGTTGGTTCATGAATCTTCAACGTTCACACAACTACAATTCTTTTACAACTTAATTCTCCAAATTTTTTTCTTTCAAATTCATCAATCATCATTATAATCCATACATGATTTTGCTAGGATTTCTAAGAGCAGTTAGAACCATCAATTTTCTCTCTCAAAGTTGATAAGAAGGCCAAACAAGTTTCTTTACATTATGATCCATCTAGGGATGGTAATTTGAACTGTTAAAATCGAAAATCGTGATTAACCGAACTGAATGGGGCAAAAAAATCGAACCGATGGTGCAATTGAGTGGTTATGGTTTTGATTTTAATGACTCGATTCGGTTCGGTTCCGTTCGGTTCGGTTTTGACAATTGGACTTCCCCAAAATTCTAGCACAATTAACATTACTAGTAAACTCTTAACTCAATAACCTAATTATAACCCTACACATTAAAATTGAAAATTGAAAACCAAACTTACAAAACACCCGTCCACTTTTTATACCCTATTTTGTTCTTTCCCTAAATCTCGTTTTCAGCCTCTACTCTCTTCCCTGCATCTCTATCTTTCTTTTCCTTACTAAATCATTCTTTCTTTCTTTTTTCAGCAAATCACCCTTCATCACTACAGATTCATCTCGAATTTTTCAACTTTTTCCTGGTAATTCTATCATTCTCTATGTTCTGAAATTTTTTGTTCAGTGGAGAAAGAGAAATTTGAAGCATCTTTGTTTTGAATGGGGAGATCTAAGGAGATTGTTTCTCATTCGCTTCCTTAAGAAGGTAAAAAAAAAACCCTTTTCGGGTTATTACATTTACTGCAACAAAGGACCCTCTCCAAATTTGGGTGTAAAATTTCTCTCAACATCAGTTTTTTTTTCAATTATATGATTCTTTACTTTGTCAAGTGTTATATGTTATTCGGTGTTTTGTGGGTGTACAGGATACGTCAAATTTTGTAAAAATGATTTTGCTATTTATATAGGTGTGATGACGGTGAATTTGATGGGTTCATCTATTTTGTTAGTTCAGTTGTTACTTCTAACTTGTGTTCTCCTTCTGGTAATATATTTTGAAAACCATTATGTTGTTAATTTTGCAATCATTTCACTGGCTTTTGAATAAGATATTAATTTATTTTTTTTGGATTTCATAGAAATAAGTTGTAATGGTTTTTGCAGATTTCCTATTTCCATAAATTCCAAAGCTTTTTGAGATTTTGTTATCCTATTTTATCAGCAAATTTACTATGTTAATTTGCAGACTTCCCACTTTCTTGACAAATTTAGAAAATAATAATTTCATAGCCTGATTGGCCTTGTGACTTGTTCATATAAAATAAAGATTCAAAGGCTATTGAACATAACGGTATTGAATATTTACATTTGATAATTAAGGAATTAGGAATGCTATGTAATATGTATACATTATAATAAAAAAATGCTATTAAAAATAATACACTATATTTAATAAATTGATTGCATTTTCAACATAACCATGACTGAAACCTCAATTGATGTGTTTTATTTTTCATGTAATTAGATGTCTTGCCATGGGTCGACGTCTTCTGTTCCGACTCCTCTATCTTCAGTTGAAGTTGGAGATACCGCTACTGGCATTCGAGAGGATGCATCAAGTACACCGGGTACTTCATAAAATCCAAGTGAGGTAAATGCAAATTCTACTCATATAGATTTTGGTGATGATGAGGAGCCGACTCAAGGTTTAGCGAGGAGGATATTGACAAAGATGTACATTTTTTTGCTTAAATTTTAAGTTGAGACCATTCTTGATTGGGTAGTATGATTGTATTATTACTCTAATTACATTTCTTATTTACTATATAGGAATCAACTTTGAGTATTGACCTATGCTAGTAAGAATTGTGTGGAAGAATGAAGATTAATCTATGTTAGTAAGAGCCTTAACTTATTTTGATAATATTGTTTATTAAATTCGAATATTGCATTTGAAAGTTGAAATATTATTTGCATTTTCATTTGGGATATTGTTTACTAAATTGACTTAATATTGTGTTTTTGTTTTTATTGATTTTTCTTCCAAAAAAAAAAAAAATTTCAATTTGACAGTTGGAGTTTGAATTTATAAAAAATAATTTACTTTCGTGGTTATTAATTAAACTGAACGGAATCGAACCGAACCGAGATACGAACCGAGCGATACCAAACTGACTTACGTGGTTATGGTATGACAAAAAATTGGTGGTACAGTTATGGTTTTGATCGAACCGACCCCGAAACGAATCGTTGTCATCCCTAGATCCATCTACTAACTACCAATATCTTTCGCTTATAAAACCAAGCATCTTCTAGTATCTTAGAAATATTCACCATAGACCTTAGAAGCAGTAAACTGCATTACTAAATGGCTGTCAGACCAGCTGAGAACACCAAGTTACCAAAAAAAAAAAAAGCAAAAAGTAGGCAGCCCTAAGAAATTTTTCTCTACATGTATAGAGATAAAGAATAGTGTCTAGTTTCAGGTGAAGCACCCAAATGTTCTTATTAAATGGACAGTGGATACACCATGCCAATGATGTCAAGACAAATCAAACATATAGATACACATTACATAATCACGAAAATGTTAATGCTTTTAAACTATCAAGGCCATGTGCAGTTGGAATTAAACAAAACAGTCAAAAGTACAATTTTTTCTTCAATCCTTTCTTTAAAATTTATAGAAAGCAATATTTCCTCCTACTTCATACAAGGAGTAAAAGACATTATTTTACCTGATGAATTGTTGAATAAGAACCCTAGTTTAAATTTTCTCAGGCTTTCTCATTTCTCAAAATATTTGAATAGAGAATAGTTTGAGTAGTTTGAGAGAATTTTTCTTGATTTATAAATTGAAATATTTATGTGCTTTCTGTTTTTCCTTTAATGGAATTTTTGGGTTCAGTGTATTATGGTTTCTTGTGAAGATGGACAAATTTCTAAGGGAAGAATGAATTTTAGGGAGATAAATCGTTCCCACCTCGGTTGCTCTTACTTGGATTCCTATGATTGCGATACCTATTTTACCCTTCCATTCGAAAAAATAAAAAATGACTCCACGCGTTCATCTAACGGCGGATTTGGATGGAAATTGATAGAATGACGTTTTGTACAATCAAATGTGTAATTAAAAGTGAAAATGTCAAAAAATGAAAAATGTGAACATTTTGCACAATAACAATGAGATGTAGGGATATTTTATGCTATTTATCCTCAAATAAACAAAAAACTATGACACAACGTATTATGATTTTGTGTTGTGGTACGAGAAAATCACACTAGAAATTCTTACCGTGTTAAGAAAAGATAGAGATAGATCCAAGGTGACATCAATTTTAAGAAGAAATAGATAATGATCGAATCCTATTTTAGGAAGACTTCGTATTTGAATCATAAAATTAATTTATATATATTACGTAGGGTCTTTAAGAATTTTTATAATGTATTATCTTATAAGTTTAACAAGTTGATAATTTTGAACGTTATCTTCGAGTCAAGACCAACCAAAAATTGATTTAATCGAAATTATTAATTTATCGAGTATTAAATTACCGAAGTTCTACCATAGTAAGATATATATCCGTCTAAGTCAATGTAACAAGTAGTCAATGTAATAGGAAACATTTGTTTCAAATAATGTTCATCTAAATTTCAGCATCGTTGAACAATGTGAAACTAACTTCATTGTCACATAACTCGTTCATCATCATCAATCTGAATGAATAACAATACTCTTTTCGAAAATCAGATACGTTTGATCGTTCATAAAAGTCGAATTTTTATCTTCCTTTAATTTATTACAACTTGGAATAAACAAGTGTGCTAGATGCCACGTAGAATTTCCCGGTAAGCAACTTTTCCGGCGGAAGCAAGACAAGGAAGGCAGCCACCTCCGCAGCGGCTTCGGACGTGTGCTTGCCCTTACCACCAGTCATGGAAGTCTGAGTGAATCCAGGACAGAAGCAATTAACACTTAACCCAAGCCCCTGAAAACGCTTTGCCAGAATCTTTGAATGTGCATTGAGTGCAAGCTTTGAGACTGCATAATCAGTCCACACTTCTGGCCATCCATGGCTCTTCCATGTCCCACTCTTTACATTTTGAATGAATAATTTCACCATTCCATCAATTTGATTTTCTGATAGGTTTTCTTCGTCCAGAAGCATTTCTCTTAATTTCGGATTCTTCAGCTTCTGCAAGCATAAATACTTAATTTTACGTAAAAAAATCTATAATCAAAATAAGCAACTTAATTATTTTTAAGTTTCAAAATAAGCTCAATGCATGTATGGCTATGATTAAAACATTTATTGTCTCAAAATAAACAAAAAAAATTTAGTTAAAGTTGATGAGTTACTTATTTTAAAAATAACTCATGTTTTATTCTCAGAAAAGTGTTTATTTACTTATAAGTAAAAAAGTAATAAATCCAAATATATTTGGATACAAATTAAAAATTATTTATAAATAATGAGGTTCGATATTGACTTACATTTAATAATCCGAGTCTAGAACTGATGTTAAGAATCCGACCGGCTGAATCCGATCGTCGAAACATCGGCAAGAGAGCCTCAATTAGCCATTTTGAACCGTAGAAATTGGTTTTGACGACAATCTCCGCATGTTCCACTGAATTCTCGTGTATATCATTGAATGATACACCTGCATTATTTACCTGAAAATATACATAATAATTTCAAAATTAACAAAATATTATTCATTATATCGTTCAATTTTATACCATAATTTTCACATTTTTTCGTAGCGAGATTTTTGGTTTCTGGAGCTTCTAACATATGTATTTACTATTATTATCGACGAATGCTAGACTCATATGTTTGTTCGATTAAAAAATTTACTATGTTTGAAAAATAAAAACCTTTACAATTAGATCGTAAAAATGGGATCATTGACATTTATCAAGCTTATAATGAAACAAGAACTATCTTTATGTTTTCAACAAAAGTGTAACACTTGAAATTTACGTAAATGAATGACAAAAATACTTACATTTATGACATCTCGTGTCTCTAATACCACATTTAAACATCTCGATTAAAGACCCAACTTTTCCTTATCAAAAAACCTAAACGTTTCGAGAAAATTTCACCTCTATTTGTACATCTAACTCTAATCATACATATCAAATTAAAGTAATGCTATCTAACCCCACCTGGGCTACAACCACAATTTAGGTGATTTTAAATGATAGGTTAAATGAAATTTAATTTCACATATCATTTAAATACCACATTAACGCCACCTAACTATAACCCTAGTGCGCTACTAGGATTACTCATCAAATTAATATGATCAAAGTAATAAATGAATATAAATAACTCACTAGTATATCCAACGTTCCAAATTTCTCTTGGAACCATGATGCAAATATCTTGATGGAAGCAGGTTCTGAAACATCAAGAGGAAAGAAATAAACATGAAGCCCTTCATTCTTCAGTAATTCTACAGCATTTAGTCCCCTCCCGTTGTCTCTGGCCGTTAGCACTACCGTCAGCCCCAGCTCCGCCAGCCGCTTTACGAGCGCAAAACCGATACCTTTGTTTGCTCCGGTAACCACCGCCACCGTCTCCTTAGACCACCATCTACACAAAACATCAACAACATGCTGTAAAATGATGAATATGCATATATAAAACATCACCATGGCTGTCAGACCATTTCACCCCAAGAATTAGACCAGAGAGAGAGAGAGAACCTTGCAGGTAGACAAGGAGTAACAAGAATGGTCTCTGGTTCTTTCATTGCCATTTCACGATATTAGGCAACTTTGGGAACAGGTTAACTGGTGGAATGAAGAAACCCACAAATATTTATGTCTCGCTTTTGTATTTCGTTAGTGCATGACACGATGGACCGTACTAGATTTTAGTTTCTTTTTCAATACTGTTTAGTGCGTACGTATAGTATACGTCAACGAAACTAAACGAACCATCAAAATTTGTGGTGTGGACAAAACTTATAGAACACCAAAACAGAAATAAAGTATTAGCTAGTTGAAATGTGAAAAGTTTTTAGCCATCTTGTGACATGAATTATATATGGGCCTAAAGTAATCTTATGCAAAATGCACTTGTCATTTCCATGTGCGCGACACAGCCTTTACTTTTATAATATCCATTTAGGTTTTAACTAACGTCATGTTTGTCCTATCCTCGAAGTATGGTTCTTGCTTTCTATTGGATCCCTATTAATACATATAATATTTCCTATACTTTATGAAACAAAGTGCTTTTGTAGGATAATTTCTAGAATACATATGTTTCTTGGAAACATGCTTGAAATTTTTTAATGGATAATATATTAAAAGAATTTTATGGGTTTTCTTGATTACTGTTAAATGATTAATCGTACAGTTGTTACTGATTCTTTCCTTGTATAGATTTCGTGATATCGATTATATTGATCACTTTATAATTTATATTTACGTATTGGTTTCTAACGAAAGTATTAGCTAGCAAGGGTAATTTTAAATAGTTAACACTAGAATTATTGATAGTATATCATGTTAAAGTTGTTTCACGCACCTCTTAGAAAGAAAAGAATTTAAATCATAATACTTAATGGTAAGTTTTTTATTTTTTTTTCATTTATTGGAGGCCTAAATAAGTTTAATGTGGAACAAAATGCACACGATCAAAGTTGAGGAGCCTGACGTATAATTATAGAGAACTTGAGCAGCAAGAAGAGTTGAAGAAGGACCCACGCGTAAGAGGGGTAAGCTGCCAGTTTACGGGGACAAAAAATTATGTTCCTATTTCGTAATTTCAGGGCAACTTCGGAGACATTTTGGACATTCGCTTTGAGGGAATTTAAATACTCACATGGAATGCTCATTCATTGGTTGCTCATTTTAAAACACCAAATGTAAAGAAAATGAGGCAAGAGGAGGAGAATAAAAACAAGCTAATTTGAGAGATTTTGGTGGGAAATCAAGACCAAATCTCTCTCTATTTCTCACATGGAATGCTCATTCATTGGTTGCTCATTTTAAAACACCAAATAGGAGAATAAATACAAGTTAATTTGAGAAATTTTGGTGGGAAATCAAGACCAAGTCTCTCTCTCTCTCTCTCTCTCTCTCTCTCCCTTTTTTTTTTTTAATCATTTTTATTCAATGAGCTAAATCTTTTGATGTTGGGATGATTGATATAGCACAACTTTTATTAATTTCAATATTTGTTGTTTCATGTTAAAATGTTTGTGTTCTTCTGTATTTATTATTATCTTTAATGTTTATCGTTTATGTGGTCAATACAGTAAAATCTCGTTAAATGAATGTTCGATAAATTGATAATATTGCTTAATTAATAAAAAAATTCGGCCATTGTATTAAATTAATAAACCCACTAAATGATAACAATATTTTTTTTTGAAATCCCAACGAATATATAAAATAATAAATATTTAAATTTATAAAAGTCCATACTAATACAAATTAAAAAAACTTTTAATTTGACAGTATTTTTTCAATTCATCTCTTTTTCGAAATACACTTCTAAAGTCTTTTGTTTTTTATTTGCATGTACATTAATGTTTCTTTTTTAATGTATGTATGTGTGTCTTTTTGGTGTGTGTATAGATTAAATTTTGAATTTTACCACATTCAATATTTTTTTGAGAAAATAAAAATTCCTACATGTATTATAGTAAAATATAATACAAGTTATAAAAATAAAAAAAAAACTTTATAAATTAATAAATATTCATTTATCGATAAATCAATAAATTATTCATTTATCAGTAAATCGATAACCCCTCTAAAATAATAATTTATCTCGGTCTCAACTTTATAGAGATTTTACTATAGATTATTGTGTTGTATGATTGTACAATTATTGAGAACTTGTTGCGCATTTTAGACCAAAGTAGTAAATGCCCTAAGTTCTTATAGGGGGTACAGATATACTCAGAATTCTAGGTTATTCATTGAACTATTTTGACAAAGGTTTAATGCGATTGATTTTATTTTAATTGATATAGAGATATAGTAGGTTAAACCAAGCACTTATGACTGATGTCACTCTAGAAGGGTAATTAGTTGAAATAGGGAAATCGGATTTAACTTTGTAACTAATTTGTTTTTTTGACTTATTATGAAATTAATTAGACAATGATTAAATAAAATCATGAGTCCTAACTCTTTTATAACCCAAAATTTCCACAACTTCCATAATTGTTATTTCAATTGAGTTTCAAACTATTTTTCTTACACATTCAACAACGAAGTTCAATTGTGTGTATTTCATCGTTACAATTTGAAGTGACTACTTTGTAATTAAAAGAAAATGTTACTCGTGGGATCGACAATCCGAACTCGTTAGTCCATTTTATTACTTGAACGCAATCCGTGCACTTGCAGTGTATATTTTTAGCGAACACTTGATAACGTAGCGATATTGATAAAAACTTCTTGCTCGAGCACATACATTTGTTCTTTTAGTGACTTTAGAGAATGACTTTTGGACCATTCTGAAAAGAAAAAGAAAAAAATCGCTAGCCCTTGGTGGTGGAAATGTAAATGTTTAAGTGTTTATTAAGTTGGAGCTTCAAAAGATAAATTATAGGCAAATTTGGAGTTGCAACTCAAATTAAAATTAGTTTTGATTTTAGAAATAAAACGGGATGAATTGAAAAATGAACAAGGAAAGAAAGTGTTTGTTTGCCTCAGTTTTTTTAATTATAAACTAGACGAATAATATTTTTATCTACATATTCAGCACTTCGACTCACGAATTTTATTTATTTTTTTCCTCACATTCTTTATGACCCACGTCTTATAATCAACAAAACTTTTTACGAAACATACTCGAAATATTACCACAATTAAGCAAAACAAATGGGTGAAAGTGAAACATATCGTTTGACGAGGCACTAGTGCTATAAATATAGGTCATCTGATGACTGAAAATGATAAAAAGAAACAAGGCAAGAAGTTTCGAAGGCCACCAAATGGATAGAAATGATCTCCAACCCATAGTGGGTAAGATAAAACATGTCCATCACTATGTGACGTTGCAACATTAACGATCAAATCTACAATTTTTAACAATTCGACATTAAATTTTCAAAAATTTAAGCCGACGTCAACGATGGACAAAATAACTTATATCCACTATAGGTAGGAGATCATTTCTGACCACATGAAACCAATATACAAAAAATTTAGACATAGTGTTCAAAGTGATGATATATGAATCTTTGTGATGTTGTCTCTAAAGTCACATACACTAGGAAATTCCTGAAGTTGGTAGGAAAATGCTAGGGCGACACAAAATATATTCACCAAAAAGAGATGTTGTCTCTAAAGTCACATACACTAGGATATTCTTGATGTTGGTAGTTAAATGCTAGGGCGACACAAAAAATATTCACCAAAAAGACTTGTAAAGAAAGTCTCTCATCCTATCATTATTGTTGTGCAATTGTGAAATTTTGTAAAGAAAATATATTCCACTTGCCCTAATCACTTCCATCAATTCATCAAACGTCAAGTATAGTGTCCCCTTGGCCATGTTCGGACTCGTTACTTCAAATAAATTTTGTATACTTATTATCGTAGCCTAAATTCAAGAAGTTTATAACTTTGTCAGAATCTTCACACGTATATTGAAAAACATTCTCGACATATCCTCGTGTTTGGATAAAAAAAAGTTGGGGGCACGTTTCACGTCGTGTCTTCCTTCTTTAATTTTATTCGAAAAGGCACCAATGTAATATGTTCTTTTAACTTTATTAACACGTTTTATTGAAAAGTTAGGTAACATGTCCAAATGTTTAACTAATATATAAATATATATTTTATATAGTCACTATGGAGAATCTGTGTATTGACTTTTCAAACTTGTAGTCAACTTTTTACATGCTCAAAGTCAAAAGTCGTAAAAACACGATTAAACCGTAGATTTGGAACCAATTCATACTGTTTTTATATATCCAAAGCACGATTCATATTGTAAATAAATTAATGTCCTATGAAGAACGTGGTATCTTGTATATATGAAAATGTAATTCGAATTGTAATGATTTTACGCATGCTATATTGGTTGACTTCGATGTTATGAAAATCAAGTTATTTTTTCATGATGATGTTTAAACCCCATTTTTTGACGAATCTATTTTTTCAAAGCTCGTTTTCAACCACACATTCTTCCATATAATAGTATGCACGTATTTCAAAAACTTTCCTTATTTTTTAACCACGCATTCTCCCAAAAATTCATGTTTCGTAATACATTTTACCCTCAAAATGGGGATCAATCGGGGCATAATTGTATTTTGTTGAATATCATTATCATGCGGAAGTCCGACAACGATTTTAATGGTAAACGAAATGGTGAAAACCCACAATTTACCTTTTTAGAATGAAAAGTAAAGGTCGAGAAAACATAAAGAACGCCCAATTGGCAGAGCAATCTAAACAGATCGATGGCTTGGTGGTGGAGGATGGGGGAGGCAGTGGCATGTTNGTTTTGTCCCAAATAAAATGATTCTTTCTTATTTGTTACAATTTGCATGATGTAAATTGTGAATTGTGTAGCTCTAAAAATGGAAATAATATGGATCGTGTCCCCGTTTGATCCCTATTATCCAAAAACTCATTTCAACTACAAATTTTTACAATAAAATATAGCACGCAAATCATACTTGATTAAGAAGAAATTATTCCCTCCAAACAGCACCCTGCCTTCCTTGCGACAAGAACGTAGGGAAGGGGAATAATGACTTTTACAAAACTCATTTTAATAGGCTATAAATGAGAGTAGACATGACTGAAGGAGTAAGATATGCATTAAAACTTGTCATCCACGTCGTCTGATTAAATTTAATTTAACGTACCAAATAAGTCAGAAAAGTTCTCCCACCGAACTTTAACCTTTAAAACTAGCAATAAAAATAATAGCACGCGTGAATCCTTTGGCCAAGAAATACGTAGGTTGGGGACCTCTCTCTTTACACAATTAAACTAATCGGTATGTGCTGAATTATTTAATTTTCTTTCATACTAAACAAATTTTATTTCATATTCCAAGAAAATAATTTGTTAGGCTCTCTTATAACGTAAACAAATAAAGAAATGATGAATTATATAATACAGTATATCGAACATGATTTCATTTAGTATTTATTAATTATCATTTTAATTTACTTTTTAATTTTGGTTTTATCAATATTAAGTCTCTGTTTGAATTTGCTAAAAATTAATTTTTTAGTAAATTTTAATTAAAAAAATCATAATATTTATTGTGGGAAAAATAAATCTTTTTCACTTCTTCTTAATTGAATTTTGGGACGAAATTGTCAAGTTAGGGTTAAAGGTTGGAATGCAATGAATTAGAGTTGAGGACGTGAGTGCGAGAATGATTAAATATAATGAACATTTCATACAATTAAAATGTGATCCATGAAATCCCAAAACCACGAATATTCATCTCATCTTCAAATTTAAACTTCCTCGATCAAGTTGAAATTCAAATGTTGTGACAAAGATTTACAAAATCGACAAATATTTCTCATACTATTTCAGATAAATCCAAAATATCAACTATGAATATATTTCCACCGCGAAGGTCAACATCGAGATAAAAATAATTCTTTCAGTATCATAAGACAGACAAAGTTTAAGACTAATTCACACAATTAACTCGATCGTCTAATTGTTACAACAAGCACGATGGAGAAAAACACACTATTCGCACATCAACCAAAGACTTAATTGTGGTGTATTATACACAACTAATTGAAAATGCGAGTATAAGCAAGATTGCAAAAGAACAATTACCAATCTGTAGCTTCGGCAGAAGGGAAAGTTCCAAGTCCGACGTAAAAGAGGCATTCTTCCCGAATGGACTGGAAAAGAACGGTAGATAAGTAACGTTCCCCAAAGCTTGGAAATATGACCTGCAAGAATGCGTAATCTAGAATGAGTTAAACTGGAAAACACGAGATATCAGCATCATGCACTATTTGTTTTATTAGAAAACCAATAGGCCATCAATTACTTATCGTTTTACGAGCTTCCCTTTAAACTTTACATAAAGATTGGCTTGTTCAGCAATGAAACATAAAAAACTTATTGAAGCACTGAAAGTGTTGCTCTTGCAAAAGAACGAGGTACTCACAAGATAACCTGACAAAAGTCGAACATCAATTCCTACCCCTCTAGGAAAATGGAAGAAAGATGAAAGAAGAATGCAAAGGCAACCTATTGTAAAATAACAAGGTACTCTAACAAGATAACTGACAAATGTCGACCATCAGTTCCTACCCCTCTACGAAAATGGTAAGAAGATGGAAAAAACAATGCCAAGGCAAGCCTAAAATCTATATATCATCTCTGGTGCCCTACGTGCTACTTCCAAGAAATTAGATAACGTTCTTAAGATGTGTCAATGCTTTCAAAGAGATGATAGTTCGAAATCACAGTGGAATTGCTAAAAAGTTTTGCTTCCCAAGGAAGTAGAATCATTAACACTGGAGAAACACCATTCAGGCAACAAAGTATCCCATGAGGGAAGTAAAGCAATAGTACAATTTACTAACAAATCAAAGTAGTTTTTGAGAAAGAACTAAAATTTTAATATACAGTGTATGATTACAGTCTATTAATCCTGAACCTCATTTGGCAGCTTCAGATATACTACACACAGCAAAATATTAGGTAGTTCAATTTCAAGAATTAAACAACTTTTGCTCCAAAAAAGTCATAGGTAGAGCGTACCTAAAATGATATGGAAAAGTCAACTAATGTCCAATTCAATTTTGTACATCACTATTACTAAATCGAGAAAAAGTGAAATGCTAGGATTTTCTGTGACTTACATCTTGAGTTACTATTGTTATCTTGAATGAAACAAGTGCATAAAATGAATCCATTTTATGCCAAATCAAGATATCATAAAACAACCTTGTGTATTTCAGATATTTTAGGTTTAAAAATTTTAATATTTCTAAAGATGGCAATGCATACATATATGTTTTAATTTTAAATGACTCAAAGTTCTATGGGCAAGCAATAATCAACATACTGTAATAAGCTTCCCTGCATTTTCAGGTCTCTTTCCAACCTCAATGGCAGCAGCGGCAGCTGCTCCAGAAGAAATGCCCACCTGGTAAGGAGGAGTAAAAGTAAGAAGAAATATTTCACATGGCATAACATGAAACAAGATATGTAATTGAGTATACATACCATAACTAAAAGGAGCATGTGCATAAGGGGATTATGGATAAGGACGGAACAAATGATGCAAACTATAAAATACAGTTCTTAATGTATGAATTTAAAACATAAAAAATTGCGTTTTGGCATTCAATTTTGCTACCCATAGTTACTCATAAATATAAGTATTATGATGTTTCAGCATTCTAATTTCATACCAGAAATACCTTGTCTTATCCTACCAAATAGTTTCCCATATTTACTGCCAATCTCCACTCCTCCAGAATCCCTTATGCACATGGTCCCTTATTCAAGGGTTATTTTTGTCAAGCACCTCTATTTCTATCCAAAACCAGAAAGAAAAAAACAAACACCCCATTTACAAGGCATGTTACACTTTGATGGAAAAAGTGAACAGTTCCATCAAGTAGAGACCCACATGCAACAAAGATGAATGATCGGGGATCTAATGCCAGAAAAAATTATTGGGGATCAAGTGCTTAATTTGTCAAAGGGTGGGACCACCGTTATAACTTTTTCCCAATTTAATGGGAAATGTAGGAGATAATAATTGTTCAGTCATGTGTTCATCTAAATGGAAAAGAGATCTAATATATTAGGAGCCCGTTTGGTAGAGATTAAAATGGGATTAAAATTGAAAAACTAGCCGTTGTCGTCGACTTTTATTAGACGAGTGGGGCCAATAACGGCTATATTTTCAATTTTAATTGGATTTTAATTGGTACCAAACAGGCTCTAGGCATAAAACTGAAGTGAAGAACTAACCAGCAGGCCTTCTTGAAGAGCTAATTGCTTTGCAGTTTCAACAGCTTCATCACTTGATATCTGCGCCACAAAAAAAATAAAAAAATCAATTGGCAGAACATGGTAAAAGTTTCAATTGAACTTTGAACATGTCTGAAAAAACATAAATAAGATATGATTAAGGATTTATCGAAATTTTGTAAGTTGTTTTACTATCAAATCTAGAACTATTAAATGTGCGAAGCAATTATTCTCAACATTGTCTTCACCAAGATCCAAGATAATCAAAGGGGGCAATCTAAGAAAGTTCATATGAGTGCATTATAAAACCCTAATTTAGAGTTAGAACCTCCGAAGTTACAGCTCCTCTTTTTGAACGACGATAACATTCGGATTGATCGATCAGTTAAGCAAACAACGAGTAAAAACTTTTATTGTCATAAATGTGATAAAGCATTCATTAGTTGTATAGAATACAATGAAACCAAGACGCAGACCTCTATGACTTCATCCATCACATCTTGGTCTAAATTCTTTGGTATAAAACCCGCTCCAATCCCTTGAATTTTGTGAGGGCCTGCAGTTTCAAATTGCAGATGCCAGAACAATACACAGTCTAACCCTGGAAAAGAAAGCATATCATATTTGGCTTGTCATCTTACCAGGCTTTCCACCAGATAGTATGTTACTTTCTGTCGGTTCCACACCAATAATCTGATGCAACAGAAGCAAAGAATGGAGTGTTACAATAAATGAGAGAAAAAAAGCAGAGTTTTTGAAAAACTTCGATTTCTTAGGCAATATGGAAATGAGTTCATCAGTATTAAGCTCACATGTCTCTGTGCAAGCATCTATGAGTTTCTCTGAGGAAATTTCTTTACCTTAATATTAGAATTGTGCTTTTTGAGGTATTGACCAACCCCTGAAATGGTTCCACCAGTCCCTATCCCAGCAACAAGTATATCCACCTTGCCACTTGTGTCTTCCCAGATCTCTGGACCTGTTGTTTCATAGTGTATCTGCAAAAAATACATGAATATGCACTATCATCTACAATTTCAATGTCATCTCTTTTCCTTCAAAAAATCAAATTCCTTGTTCTGAGATGAGATATAAATACAGAGCACAAAAAATTTGAAATCCAGATGATATCCCATTAGATAAACTTCCAAGTTCCAACCAAATTTACATTAAGAAATCACCGCCAGAAAAGGCAAAAGACATGAGTTCAATTGCCACAGACACTTGAGCTCGTTTTGGAGCTGCTTAAAACAAACTTAAATCCAAAAGGTCAACACTGACAACACAATCCATTGATTGACCCAAGATACAGGGAAAAAAAGAGCAAAGAAAAGAAAATTGACTCTGTCAGAGCATAAGTTATGAGGAAGAAGGCAAAAGAACCTTGGGATTTGCAGGGTTGTCAAACTGTTGAAGCATGTAGGCATTGGGGGTGTTACTCAATATTTCTTCAGCTTTTTGCACAGCTCCTTTCATACCTTTGGCTGGATCAGTTAAAACAAGTTCAGCTCCGAATGCTTTCAAAAGAACCCTTCTCTCAAGACTCATTGAAGCAGGCATTGTCAAGATGAGTTTGTATCCTTTCGAAGCAGCAATAAACGCAAGCCCAATACCAGTGTTTCCACTCGTAGGTTCAACCAAAACACTCTAGCATAAAAATAGATTTCCATTACAAAATACCATGTACCAGATGCAAGTAATATGGTGACATTGCCATCTATGTGGTGATAAATAAGATCAAAACCAGACCATGTCCAATGATTATACAACGGTACAGAGCTAAAAGTAATTTGTTTGCACAATCATTTAACCTCAACAAGTAGAGGGGTATTCAATTGACCTTTTAGCAGCAAAAAGCAAGAATCGTAAGCAATCTGATCAAAATGATGTAACTAGAAGCCAAGAAACTAGTGCAAAAACACGCCTACGAGAATAAATTGGGAATGGAAACCAAACATACAACCTTTACAAAGGTTTAACTTTTTAGGCAATATACCATGTTCATCAAACTACAGAATGTGAAATTCAATCTGGTCAAGTTAAAAATACACAAGCTGATGAAAATTCTACAATCTCTTTACTCACTTGAACTAATAATTTAAAGGCCCGGCATGCCGATGTAACAATGAAATCATCAGAATGGGCTGAATTATGAAATAATAAGAGGGCAGAACAACTGAAAATATAATGTGCACAAAAATAAAGATCCACCAGAACAGCAGTGTTATATGGGCATGTATGTAACAATCATGTTGGACATGGATGCTATTTATCTGCATGGCAAATGATATGAGAAAGAAAAAAATTTGGCTCAAGTTTTATAGGAGGGTCAATGACAGTAATTGATCTCCCTGACATTATTAAAATAAACATGATAGGTTATTACTGAGTGAGCAGCAAATCTAATAAAGGAAGGTAAAGTCAACTGCTCAATTATTGTATACCTTACACCTTCCTGTATATCCTCTTCTTCTTCTTCTTTTTTTTTTTTTGGTGGTTCAGGGGAAGGGGACTTAAGGGTAAAGAAATCAAACATTTATGGAATTAGGAATGTACTTTGACACGCGTCTTACCTTCCCAGGAGTTATAAGTTCTCTTTCCTCAGCATCAGCTATCATACTGTATCCTATCCTGAAAGCAAACGATTATTGTAAGAAAAAGAGAATTATACGGGACATCATTTCTTACATTTAGATCCTTGTATCAAAAATACTAATTTCATCGAACAACAAGAAATAGCAATATAAACAAATAGATACTAAGCTCAATCATGTGAGACATCAGGATCCTAATCTTAACAGGATATAAATTGTGAACCCTCAAACAAACTGAGTGAAATTCAGATACTATATAACTATAGATATGGACTGGAGTAGATCATAATTGACAGAAAACCACGTTATCTTGAGGATTTACTTCGCTGTAACGTTGGAAGTTGGATCTTGTCCAGGAGGCAGAAAGCAACAAATAAATGCATTTGTTCGCAATTACAAAATCTTAAATAAAAAACCAGGAGTGTTCTCACCTGTCCTTGACACTACAACATGGCTCCATAATCTCAAGCTTCGCAGCTATGTTAGCAACACAACCTTTTACAATAGTATTCAAGTAAACCATTGGTGTCTTCCCAATAAGCTGTCACATTGTGTCAACAGTGAAATAAGAATAATTAATTAATCGATAAATTAAAGGCTTTCTATCAAGGTAATTTAAAATAATGTCCAAGGAAAGAAAAACAAATATTGCTTTTAATATACGCTAACCTAACTATATTAGATATTTTCATATCATTCTATCTACTTGTGTCAAATATAATGAAGGCCAACATAAATTTTTGAAGCAAAATTATAGCCTCAACCTACCCACAAGGCTTCAAGAATATTTTTGACATTCATTTACCATCAACGTAACTTCATTTCTGACCTCAATCAAGTTCTCCAAAACTTCCACCCATCTTCACTTGAGTACAAATTTTCTGTTGTTTGCTGTCCATTTTATTGATCCACTTAGAACAATGCAGCATTAAACTTAGATTTACCTTTCAATTATTAACTCCGCGTAATTCGTATTGAAGTCTCTATTAAATCCTGAGAATTTGTTTTATCATTTGAATGATTTGACGACTGATTTTTGCATTAAAACAACAAATCAATTCAAATCCTCTAAATTAATTAGGATTAAGAAGTCGCCTGAGTATATTAACACCACTACAAGGAATATCCTCAGCTGTTCTTACTAGAATATTAGAACAAAACAAAAACCAACATTAAGTATTACTTAAATTCAAACTAAAAGAAAAAAGCAAAGCTAAAACGAAAAGATAACTAATATTTTAGTAATATCAACAACAAATTTAAAGAAAACACGCTGCACAAAAAAAAAATACTGAATGACAGTTCAAGTATGAAAAATGGAATGAAACCCGGAAAACCCCACCTGGGTTACATCTTCGGCAATGTTAAGGCCTTCAATATCAGTTTGTGGCTGCACAGAAACTGCTTCACACAAAATTTTACTCTTACTGCCATTGATACTACTACAATTTCCGATATTGATAATACTATTAAAAGACTTATTGTTATATCCCCGATAATTGGCTTTGGAACGCAACCGTTTAGCAAAGAAGTATTCCGGCGACCGGACGTCGGAATTGTACAGAAAAGTCACCGGATTGTTCAACAACCAAGCCATTGAGATCTCGCACTCAGTGCGTGTGCTTGAAATGATACGGAATTGTGTGTGCGCTAATGTGCTTGGAGTTATACGTCGTCGTTTGGTATTAGTCAACGTTGAGAATTCTTTATTGACTTTTGACTTTTCGCGGTAATGAAGGGACGTATAGTGGGCCATGGACTCATTGGACCCCACGTCGACCGTTGGGCCGTTCATTTTCGTAAATTCAAAGGAATATTTAAATAGTGGTAATTACTTATATATTCACATTTCCAAAATCAGGTACAAAGTTTGTTTTTTCCAAAATCGGATATATATATATACAGATATGATCTAATGAGCACCGGTGCTCATCTTATCCTAAGCACCGATGAGTTGGCACATTAATTCATTGGTGGATTGGAACTCACAAAATCTTTATCCACCAATGAATTAATGTGCC